TCTCGATCATATATATATATATGCATAGATGTTGAGGTCTAGGGCCAGGGCGTTTTGTTGCGTGACGACTGAAGGTGGCATGTGGAAATGGTGCCTCAACTCACTTGGTCTGGGGGGAGCAGATGTTGCAAATTCACAACCCGAGCTAGAGCCCAATAACCAAAATCGGTGTGTTGCTGTTTGCTTCCCAGCATTAGTTCTTCTCAGGTCTCGGGCTTTCGCCCCAAATCCCCACTCCAAATCGAATTGTCTGTCTCCAGCGTTTTGGCGCCTTAGTTCCCACAACGCACGTTGTGATTGTGCCCAACCGGGGGGTTCTTTCTTCTTTTTGGGTGGACCAGGAAAGCGCCCTCCCGGTTAATTAGGTCCCGGACTTCGGTGTTGAAGGCTTCGATTTCTGATTTCAAGTAGAGGCCTTCATGTCATCATTTGCCAAAAGATGGCCTTTATGACACAATCCCATAAGCCACCGACCGAGAGCCCCAGAGTCTGTGAACCTTTTAGAGGGGTAGCACCGCACCTATGCCTATGCCCTTCAGATACCGCTTCCTCCTGGCTGGAAGAAGAAGGAATCTCGATCAAAGGTCCAGCATCCGCCCAGCTTGGTAAGAGGGGATTTGGCAGTTTCCCAAAATGAGGGGACCCCAATATAGACCCAAAAAAACTATAGTCCTTATAGGGACACCTTTAAAGAGGTACCCCTAATTTTGGGAAAGCCCCATTTAGGGCATCCATCTCATCGTCTGTCTAGGAACTAACCCGTGCTAAGAGGGCTTCAGGTTGTAAAAGGATTGTCGGATCTGGATGTTGCACTGCGGCGGGGGCGTTAGTGTATTTGCTCATGGCATTCAGATAGGTGATGTTTGGCCTCCTGGTCGTTTGGGCGAATGAGGCTGGTGCAAGGCTACAGGGAACTGACATTGATGAACACGTGTGGCAGGCTAGGCTTCTTTGGTCCTCAGAAGCGCTTTAATGTCCAACCGCCCAGGAGTTACCAAAAATGGCGGTCTCTTGCAGAGGTCGTTGCGGATCCTTTACGGATACCTCATTCCCAGAAACTTCCACTCGCTTGTCTTGAGCGGCCTGGCGCAGATCTCCAGCTCACAGCTGTGGCTCAGAAGCGGACCTGCTAAAAAGATTGTAGCACATTTTGTCCATGTCTATCTTCAAGATAGTCGCGCCTCTCTTCACTTACCTCCCCCCAGCACTTTGTTCTAGAGGACTTCCTTTGTGATTCTGTGGGAATAATGGCCTCGACCTTGAAAGAGCCGCTGCTGCCGAGGCGGGCAGATTTGCGAGTTTGGTCTTGAAACCAAAGCTGTAGTGTTCACGTCCTGCGAATCATGCAATTGTAGGCCATTTGTTTTTTCGTAGACACGATGACAAGGCAGAATTTTTGAGCAGCACATGGCAGGATCCGAATGTTGAAAGCTACCTCTTTGAGAGCTAGTAGCTGGGCTGTGTACAGGCCATAAACAACCCAGCCAACCAATTAGGGTACATGAAAGTATAAGTGAATGACTCAGCTTTCAAAAAGTGTGATAAAGCCACAGTGCTAACTCCATGAGCTCATAGCTTCTTTTTCTTGTTTTGTGTAGCTATTCGTTCCTCATGCGAGCCTTTCTACATAGCGGGGTGTAGCGCAAGCCTGGTCGCAAGGCACAATGGGCCGGTTGAGAAGTTAGCCGGGATCCCAGAGTTATAGGGCTCAAGGCTTAGGCATCCCAATCCCGAACAGAATTGTCTGGGCTTATATAGGGATAATGGAACAGAAAATGGAAGCTACTATAGTATAGGCTTAAGGGTTTAGGGTTTAGGGGGCCGGTCCTTCTTTTAGAGGGTTTTGGATATCGGTTTTGCGAGAGACGAGGGTTCCGGTGCGACCTAGGCATCATTGGCTCCTCTCGTTGTAATGTTGAATCCCGACTAGTGGAATCCCGACTAGTGCAGGAGTCCCCAGTACAAAGAAGTTTTTTGAAACTTTTTCTGGACCCCTGTTCGATTTGGGTGGTCCCAATAAAGTAAAGTTGTTTTTTCCGCCTATATTTTTCTAGATCTCCCAATTCGTGTTGATGACTTTTTTATGACAGAGGCTCCCCGGTTTGTTTTGGGGGGGCACACTAATGTTGGACCCTCTTTAAAGAGTAGGGCCCCCCCACCCAGAAAAATTGAAATTAGACGTCCTGAATAAGGGTCCCACGGTACTGAGGGGTCTGGGAGGCCTTGGGGATTATTTTAAAAGGGATGGTCTGGATTCGGTCCAGCATTGTTAGGGCACCAAAATCAAAACACACTGTAGGGCCTTGCAATCATTGCCTTGATCCTGAATAAGCAGGCCCCAAAACACATTGTAGGGGACCTTTTCAACAAAGTAGGTCAAACATTAATCAGGCTCCGACATTAGGTGGAGCTTGTCTGGGGAGGCATGGAGGTAGAGAGGCAAAGTATTTACCTGGGAAGACGCCAACATCTTCACCCTTGAAAAAAACACCAAGATACCGCGAAACCTAGACCCTAAATCCTACAATTCAACACCTAAACCGAAGATAGCTTGGATGGCTATTGCCTAAAGGGGCCAGGGATGGGTGGATGGCCAGAATTCTTTCAGTTTCAGGCCTCTAGCAGAGATTCCTTGCCAAAGGCAAAGCCTAGCGCCGGCCAGACGGCCTTAGCCTTCGCCGTGTTCATCGCAGTGAGGAGCTTCCATCCGGCAGTGGCCCCAGACATGCCGGCCCTACTTGGGGTTGGGGTTAGGACTTTTCGAGTTTAGAGTCAAGAGTCGGCAAGGGGTATACCGCAGAGTTTTGGATTCAAGGTTTGGGATGACAATGGCTGCAGATGTACGATTTTGCACTTCAGAGGTTGGGTTTGCGCGGAGGCCTCTCCACGGCTTACCTTCATCATGTATTTTGGGTGGTGGCATGTCATGTTGGTGAAAATTGTGCCCAACACATCCTGCGGCGCAATGCCCTCCCCGATTTTGGGTCGGAGCTCCATGTGGCCCTCTTTGAAAGAACTACAGTCAGTTTGGGATGGGGTGCTGTATCCTTCCACTGAGATCATCATCGACATCTCCAAAACTGATGGCAAGCTGCCCTATGGGAAGGCATGCAGGTGTCAAGCATCCTAGCAGGAATAGAAGCAGAAGCGAGGCATGATGACAAGTGTCTCGATCGGGTTTGTAAGTGGAGAAGCTATGCTGATTGTGATCGTCGTTCCTTGGTTGAGTGGTCAGAGTCAAAGTAAGTACCATCATCTGTGCCAGCAGGCCACGCCTTGTGTGATCAACTCTGCCGTCGACATCGTAATCGGTATTCCTGGCATGTTGCAAACATGCAAGGCCTTGCACAGGAATTTCTCATACATCTTGTGCTATACATCCTGTGCTTTCGCTGCACTTGTGTGGATCGCTCAAAGGGTCTTGCGGGTGAGTGTCAGCGTGTCGAGTGCATGCACCCGTGAGCGGAGCAATGGCTCCCCCGGCTGATGCCGCAAAGCCGGCAAAGCCCGGGCCGTCAGCCGAATGTGCTGTCCTTGAGTTCCAAATGCAGCAGCTGAAGGAGGAGCTGCGTGAATATGACCAGCAGCTGCCGTGCTGGTCTGCTGAACTGGCAGCTGCCGAAGCCTGGGCACAGCAGGTGCAGTCTGAAGCAGACGAAACTGAAGCAGAAAAGCATCGCTTGACGGAGGAGCTCTCCGAAATGCAGGCCACGGGCCTTTCGCCCGCCAGTAGCGCCTGCGAGAAAGACTTTGAAGCTGCCGTGGGCCATCAGGCTAAACTGGGAATTTCTCATCATGACTTTGACGAGCCTTTGCCCTTGCCTCCCTCCACGACTGCGGGCGTACACCCAGATGAGCACCGGCGCCATGCCGAGCGGTGCCTGCAGCGCGAAACCGAACGCCGCGAGCTGGCTGTGGCACACCTACGGCAGGAGCGCCTGTGCTTTTCTAAAGGAATTCGACAGAGCTTGTTGTGATGTAAGGGTTTAGGGGCTTGAAGTAAAAGTTTCTGATGACCACAGCAGGAGCATTTGGTCTGTGCAGATGCGGCCTTGGGTTCGGCCTGGGCGGAGGCTGAAGAGCTTAGAGCCGAGCTGGCAGAAGCGGAGCGCGAGGGCCGAGAGCTGCTGCAGGAGCGGCGCATCGCTGAGGAGCAGGAGCGGCCTTTGCGCGAGTGGGTGCAACATGTGGAGAACCAGGTCACAGCGGCAAGGACTGAGAATTCTCGGCTTGCTGCGGCCCTCTCCTCCACCTTGGCCTTTCGAGCATCGCTTTTGCATGATGATTCCGAGGCCCAGCCCTTGAGGGATGCAGGCATGAACGTGCAGCAGGTGCGCTGGCTTCGGGAGCACGAGCAGAGCTGCATCGCAAGGAAGGCGCAGCTCAAGGAGGAGATCGCAGCGGAAGAGAAGCGCCGCGACGAGTTCCTGAAGGAGGCATGGAAGCACAGGGCCATCGCGGAGGAGCGGCAGCGGCAGCTGGGTGCTGCAAGTGCTGCAAACCTGCCGAACATCCTCCAGACCCCCGAGGCCCGCCAGGCGCGCCAGGCTGCTGGTTCCGCCATCTCAGTGCTCAGGTCGCCAAAGTTCCCGCTCCTTGGCCTTAGCAGGCAGTCCACGCGCATCTAGCGACGAGCATCTTAAAGCTAATATGCTTGCTAGGTAAGCCGCGCTGATGGCGTGGTTGTAGCAGTGCCAGTACTATAGCACTGAAGCCAAGGCGGCCCGACATGTCCTCAACATCGCGGAGCTGGCTTTCTGCTCCCATTCCTCCAATTCCTTCCATCCCCTCCGCGGCCTCGTTCTCGCGGGCACCGGTCAGTGAGGCGGGTGAGAGCCGACCCCACGCGGTGGACATGAGCTTCAGTAGCCAAAGAAGCCCCATAGAGGTAGAGGATGTCCTAAGTGAGGACGATCAGTCAGACTACTGGGACAGCGGCTGGGCTCAAGATGAAAAAGCCTCGAGAACGTGTAATGCTCCTCACAGCTTCCATGTCCGACAATTCGAGCCTTGCTCCAGGAAACTCGCTGGCCTTCTTGCTGGGCGGCATGCCTGGTCTGAAGCAATGCATGGGGCACAGCTTGTCTGAGAAGATCAGAAGCTTCTCAGAATTCTGAGAGCCTCCTTGCAGCGTATCTACAATCCATGCTAGAAGATCACGACAACAATGTTACCTACTAACAATATATTGAGGGGATGGCGACCTATAGTTGGCAATAAGACCTCTTCTGCCAGGAAGACTCTCCCTGAATCTGACCTTAGGCTGGGATCCGGTCCCTCTCAAGGCGGCCTTTTTCACTTCAGCCTGGATTTCTGGTTCCATAGGCTGTCTTAGTGGTGATTAGTAGGGACTAACCCCTATCTAATATGTTCCCTTATTCCCTGCTAAGCACCAATAAGCAGTTTGGCTTGTTGGTCGAACTTGCTGCAGGTCTTTAGCGCCATAGCGGTGATCTATGCCTTTGGACCCTCGCCTTGCAAAACTTGTTGCTGCAGGGACCTAGTGGATACCTTCCAGCATTTTGGTAGTTGCTTGGGTGTCCCAACAGGGGAAGATCGCAATTCGTTTGACAGTTTTTGGGACCCTTGATCTTGCTGTATGTCTGCTTGCATGCCCGGAAGGCAGATCATATCATCCGTGTGCAAGCCTTCAAGGCGACTTCCTAGAGATGCAATCCATGTCCGTCATGGGGGGTGCAGCGCTGGCTACCCAGACTTGCACATGAAGCCCAACAGCGAAGTCGTCACCTTACAGCAGCTCGAGATTGCTTGAAAGGTATCAGATCCTGCTTCAGAGCAAGCTGCTGGTGACAGCCCTCATCATGTGGTTCCTGCGGGGCCAGCGCCAGACCACGCTGCAGTGGAACGTGCTAGGCCAGGGTGCACCGTTTTCGAACTACAGTGTGACGCATGGCTCAGGCTAAACTCCTGAGCCTTACACAAAATGAGTCAGTGGCCCAAAGCAACCCCACACAGCTGGTACTGTGCAGTTACCATTGCCCTTGGGATGAGTGCCTTCGTCCTAGCGGACGACAGCAGCCAGGCAAGACTGGGCGTTGTTTTTTGACTCTTGATGGCTCCTCCATGGGAATCGTATTCATCAATATTAGCAACTGGATGAAGACTTTGCCTGGTATCTTAGAAGTGGGGTCATGTAGAATGTAGAAGCTCGCCTCTAGACCCATCAGACATACACAGAGGTGGCAGAGAAAGGAGTGCAAGTGATGCTGTAGGAAACTCAACTCGAAACATCGGCGGCATGTAGTATTTTGATAGCTCTGAAGTACATGCAAGTCCAAACAAGTTGAATCATTGGGTGTGTTTGCAGCTTCCTTCCTTCCTTTGTCTACGCCGCATCAGCATGCATTGCGTTTTGGCAAATGTTCTGCAGACTTTAAGGATGCTCGAGAGCCCCAGTTCCCGCTGTTTGAAGCCTTGGATAGCTTGAGCACCTGATGTGAAGTACAAGAAATGACAGCCATGGAGGGCGCACGGAGTTTCGAGGCCTCCCTCGGGATGCATCGCGCAAAGATCGAGGCCATGCGAGACCTGGAGGACCGTCTCAGCGCCCGGATCGCGAGGCTCGGAGAGCTGAGCGTCACGGTGAAGACGCTCATCGACTCCATGTCTGCACCTTTCCTGGAGCTGCAGCGAGAGTTTCAGGAGGAGAGGCCCGTGATGCAGTCCCTCTCTGTCCAATCCACACTCAGCAATCCACAGTCTCCCAGCAACCGGAGGGCTTTAAATCGCTCCGTGAGTTGGGTCAGCCCGGATGAAGAGCGTCCGGTGGCCGCCAAGGAGGACGAGCCGCGGTTTCCTCCTCACGGACATTGGGTTCCCCTGGAGTTGTTGGAGCGCCGGGCCTCCTTCCAAGGCGAGGCGGCAAGGAAGTTGGGAGGAAGACAACTGCAGCTTAGAACTGGCCTGGGGGATGTACCCTGCATTCTCGTGGAGCCTATGGGGAAGCTGCTAAGTCCCGATGAATATGTGAGCGTCGGGGTGGCCATTGTCTTTCAGGATGCGCCCCACTCGAGCTCTAGCGTGGAGGAATGGGCCCAGGTGCTGAAGCGGACAAAGCTCTTGGACGCAGGTCTCTCTGTAGCCTTTCCAGATCTCAGTCAGGCGCTCCTTCAACGCAAGGAGGACGGAGCTGAAGTTCAGGATCCAGCAGTTGCAGACTTCCAGGAGGTTTTCGATGCAATCGCAGCCTCCACAAAGGAAAACTTTTACATCCTCTGCGGCAAGGGCAAAGGAGCGCACCATGCCATGAACTTGGCCGCAAGGAACAGCTCCAAAGTGGCATCTGCCATCCTCTTTGCTCCCTTCTCCCCTCCGCCTGGATCCTGTCAGGACTTCCCAGGGCCAGTGATGTTGGTCTGGGCACAAGATGACAAGAAGTGTCCGTTTGAGAACGCGCCGCTCTGGGCAGAGCAGCTCGGTGGGCGAGACGATGCCGTAGCCGTTCTGCGGGACCCCGCCGTGGGCGGCCACGACCTCGCGCGGCTCCTCCGCAAGGATGAGCGGACTGCCTCTGACATGTTAGCCTTCGTGGCTGCAGTGCTCCTGATTGCCGAGCTTCCCGGGCTCTGCGGCGAAAGCCGCAAGGCCCAAGTGCTTCGACTGCTCGAGGAGCTCCCAGCCTTCCTCCTCTCACAGCTCACTCGCCAGCAGGGGCTTGAAGCGGAGGAGGGTCACGCAGATGACCTTGCGGCGGCGTTGTTGGCCAAAATCCTGGAGCAACCGCAGACTGCCAGGGGCCTCATGCAAATGCTGAAGGAGTGGGTCAACAACGACATGCCAAGTGGTGCTTCTGCCTCCGAGTGAGTCAGCATCCGCCTCAGCGAAGTTGTCCAAGTTGAGAAGCCTGTTTCACCTAAATCTAGCATCTCCGGCATCTGCTTCACGGGCGGGCCGTGAACAACTGCTTTGTGTAAATGACTCAGCTGCCATACCTGGAATGCGGCACACCTGCAATCTATAAGCTAAAAGATGTGGGCGGAGATCTTGAATATGCTTGAATGATTCTGATATAAAGTACACACACGTACATGTGTAGCATGCGTAGATAGGGGGTTCAGAGGGAAAATGCGGTATGGTCCAGTAAACTGCATGTATACGCATGCATCTATACATGCATGCAGATATACATGCAAGCATGCATCACATTGTACATCTTTGTGTAGATATACACATGCACATGTGAGTGGTGCAGGACAGCTTCAAGCCGATCGGCTTGCTCTTTGTTGTGGCCAAGGCTGCTGTGAAGATTCCCGCGAGTTTTGGTCAGTCGTGCCACTTGCCACCTGCCATGCTTCACGCAATTCGGAGAATCACAAACCAACTCTGATCACTGATGCAATCTGTTATCCCCTTCAGTTGAGCTAGGTTGAGATGCACAGCTGGGGCTTCATGGCACAATCCATTCAAGCTGCGGCAGGTCTTCTTCTCGTGCCTTTGCGCCATGCTGAGCCACCAAGGTGTTGAATCAGCTTATGCCTTGCAAACTGTCCCAGTTACACAATCAATGTATTCATCTTGAAAATAGTCGTTATTGTTCGTAACCAAATAGTATTAGCAGTATAATTGACATAGTAGCAGTAAGATTGTCAAGCGGCCCGGGCTTCAGGTGCTGTTCTTGCAGAGAAGCACCTAAAGGCGAGTCTCAGCTCAGATGGGGAAGCCACGGCAATGTAAACCTAAGGATCCAAGTACCCAATAATTACAGTACTCGAATTTTGGGTAATGGTAATTGTGGTGCAGGTTTTGGAAAGTATATCGTTATTGGGTACTTGAACCCTTGGTGTAACAGGTTTGCCCGTTTGAGCAGGCCTTCAACGACATGCCAATCTACGCGCAGGTTCTGCCCTGGCCTTTATGCAGATATTTTAGATGTAAAATATGCTTCATGTATAGTGTATTTATGTAGATATTTTCTTAACATATATATATATATATTGTAAGATATTTAGTCATTCTAGTCACAGAGGAAGAGGGTCGATGGCCGCAGGAAGCAAAAAGCGGCAACGCCATTTGTAAACAACTTTGGTTGGCACTCCCGTGCCGCGGACATCTTTATAAAACCCCAGTTTCATTTCATCTTCTATGTTCTTTTCCCCTTAGTATCCCCTTAATAACCTCTATAGTAGACCCGTATAAAGTGGGACCCCTATTCTTGGGAGCTACCCATCAGGTGGCTCAGCTGAAGTTCATGTGGCTGTGGACCTCGCTGATACTCACCCTCCTCTTTGACCGCTGCAGCCCCAGCAGCCCTAGCAGACAGCAACAATGGTTACAAGAGCCACAAGAACCATATAGCGTACTAGAGCTTTGCTAAACAGTAAGACAAGTACGTCAATTTGTACTGTTTTTCTCGCGCATGCGGAAGAAGGAGTCGTAAAAGCTTTGGGCTGAGGAAATGTGCGGGAGGACGGCTTCTGGAATGGCTGGGATAGCAGGACAGTGGTGGTGGCTTGCTCCTGGCCAGATGCCCAGAGCGCGGAGGATCAAGATCACACATGCAGCTCTGGCCAAGCTATCACGGCCTCACCTGCCTCACTTAAGATGGTGTTTGATTTCAATAATAGACCCCAACATTGCTTTATTTCAGGCTGTGGAATTGCGTTTGTGTGGCCAGGAAGCTGCCTGTGGTTTCCTTGTCTTCTGCCCATGTCCGCAGGGTACAAGCTTCAGCTAGGAGAAGTGGAAGGGATGCTGGCATTGACATGCTTCCCGGCCCCTTTGGTCCTGGGAGTTGCTTTAGCGTCTGCACCCATGGCACCTGCCTGGCACAAGGGGCAGATGCGTTGCTTTCAGATTTGGAGGAGATTGCCACCTTCGCCCCAATTCAGACATCCCGACGGGGTTGCCTTGGCATGTGCGGCAACGGGCCCAACTGCCTACTGGAACAGCCGGGCAAAAGACAGGCAGTGAGCCGTTTGGACAGTTTCCAGAAAGTGGTCTCTCTTGTGAAGAAGGTATTGAAGGATACCTCTAGCCTGCAACAAGATCTTCTGGAAAAGGCGCGGGTCAAATCCGATGCGATACGAATCATGGCCAGGAGCTCCTTTCGCCCAGAGCGAACTGCAGAGGACATGCAGCAGGCCATTCGCCTCCTGTCTGGAGCCATTGATGAGGAGCTCGCGCGACCGTCAACGTTCACATCCGCGCGGCTGCGCAGCTTACGCATCCTGCGAGGCAAAGCTTTCGGACGAAAGCTTCTCTCCACACCCGAGGGTGACCGGGGCGCAAGGGATGGCGACACATCGGCAGCGATTGCTGACTTCAAAACTGTCCTGGCCGAAGACTCCAACTGCGCTGAAGCTTATGCAGAGATGGGCCACATCTACGGCTTCACAAGCAAAACAGCAGCAGCCCTGGAATGCTATCAGCAAGCTTTGCCCTTAATGCGGGTGGGCTCCCCCGAAGCCACTGCTCTGCAGCGGCGAGTGGAGAGGCTGCGGGAAGGGCGCCAGGCTGTCTTGGAGGGAAGGCAGCATTCGGGCGACGGCAGTGGCCTTTGGAAGGTCTTGCAAATCTCTGGGCTTTCACCAGACACCTGCATCTACCACCTGCAAAACCTACCACCAGCGGAGCCACATCCTTGTGTGGGTTCTGCGTGGCACATCCAGGCGGGCTTCGAAAGCAAAAGGGCAAGGGCGTATCTAAAAAAAACATGGTACGTTGTAGTTTGTCAATCTGGTGCCTTGGAATTCTCCATACATCATACTCGTAATTACAGTCGATCAAGTGAGGAACCGCGATTCCACTTCCCTGCTCTCAGGAAAGTCCCCAGGCTTGAAGTAAAACCTTCAGCTTCACTACAGGTGACCTACGGTTCGGTCGTGAGGGAGTACACGCCTGTCTCCTCGGCCCAAGAGTGGGAGCAGGGCCGACTCGACTTGCTGGTCAAATCTTATGCGGATGGTACAGTCTCCAGGTTCCCCCGGCTTGATTAGAAAAGCTTTTGGTTCGCGGCGCTTTCGGCATTTGGCAGTGAATAGTCTCTAACTAACAGAAAGCTCTCCAGGTTCTTGGGTTCGCTGCAGACCTCAGAGGAGGCGCAGGAGGCATGCTTGCAAAGCTATGGGATCCTGGAGGAGCAGAACTGTTGGGTTCGTGTGTCTGCTCCGATCCTGACCCTTGAACTTCCAGGGTTAGGATTAGGAACACCGATCCGAGAGCTCGGCATCGTCGCTGGTGGAACTGGGATAGCACCTGCAATCCAGATGCTATCCGAGGTTGCAGAATCCAGCGGTAGCATGAGTCACTGCTGTGCAAAGCTTCTGTACTCTAGCCGCACTCCTGGCGATGTCCTCATGTTGGATGAGCTGCGTTCCCTAACTGCAAAGTCGCCTCGTGTTAAGGTTGCACATACGCTGACCCAGGAAAGCCGCCGTGTGGTTGGAAAAAACTTCCGAGGGAAGCACAGGCACTTCAGCATGAGTTTTAAGCCGAAGGAGGGACCATTGCAACCAGCGGAGGCTCCCTTTCGTGGGCGCGTTGACAGTGATATGTTGAAAACGCTTCCGCGCCCCGGGCCGGCAACTTGCATCGTCGTGTCTGGGCCACAAGGTCTCCTGGATGCATCCGAGAAGTTTCTGACCGCTTTGGGCCATGCGCGGGACAACATCTTGCTGCTTCGTGCCACAGCCACGGAGCAGAACCCTTACCCCGACTTCAGCGAGGAGTCCGGAGATGAAAACCAATCGGGCACACAACCTTCAGAAGATGAGCTTCTGGATATGCCAGGCGTTTCTGTTTCACCTGTGCCGGTCATCACCATTTCTGGCCCAGCTAGTACCACCTCTAAGCCAGGGGACCGACTCAAAGCTCAGCTGAGAGGTCCTGGCCCTCCGGGCCCTCAAAGCCCAGGCCCTCCAGGTGGCCCATCTCTGACCTTTGCCGACAGAGTACGGCAAGCGAGAGGAGATGAAGGCCCAGGGCCGAAACTGGACGAGGTCGATTGAAGAAATCTGCTATAGGGCTACTGTAGCTTAGGAAACTCACCATGCCTCGAAGTAAAACCTTTCATGATACAGATAAGGGGTTGTTCAGTACATATTTCAGCATAGTCAGCTTCATGCAGCACGAAGTTCCCTGCGCTACTGCACACCTGAGCATGTTAGCCGTGCAGACCTCTCATCAATGCATTCTGAGCATGCCAAGGGTTTTCAAGGGGTGGTCCACCTTCCTGGTCCTGAAAAGCTTGGACTCGGTCCTCAAAAACATCGGTGAGGCGGGGCTCTGCCATGGTTGCTTTCTTGTTCTGGTTCTCCTGCTTCTGGCTGAAAGCAGTCATGCGCTTCCGTAGTAAGCAGGCCGTGGCCATTCTGGTAATTTACGTGTTCGACGTGCTGATTGCAGACTATGCGCGATGCCCAAGACATCTGGCTGTCATGCTACCTCTGAATATGTCAAGCTGTTGCCCATGGCATCCTTACAGTCCCAGTCTGTTACTATATTTCCGAAATTACCGTGACGGATAGCCATGCCTGTGAGCTCCGGCTTGTTGACAAGGTCTCGGACATCCTTCCAGCCACATCCTCAGAATGGGGTTACTTGGCGTTGATGCCATCACTGTTTCGAGCATTGTGGAAGAGCGCATTTGGTGATCAAAACCACACACTGCATGCTCAGCAGATCCTCTGAGCGGGAATGCTCCAAACCAATGTCCCTGCTACACCTCTGTAGGAACAGGCTAAGGCTCTTGACATATGTTTTGATCAGATGCGCGGACTTCCAGAGGTGCATGGCAAGGACTTCAACCTCACCATCTTCCTGATGGCCAGGCTCTCGGAGTTGAACCATCAAAGCCCTGATGCGCGGGAGCTGGACTCACAGAAACCCACGGAAGATAGATGAGGGAGTTCTCAGAACTATAAGGTTGGAATTTTACTTGTAAGTGGGACCCGTGGGACCCATGAAAGTTGGAATTGTTGTGTAGTGCATTGTTTTGCACGGAATGACATGTTCGAGCGACGCACGGCCGCAGGTGCGTTGCTCGCAGTGCTGTAGAAATTTCGAACTTAGAGACTTGCAGTGCCATGTCGTCCGCTCGCGGATTCGCGGAGCTAGCTGCCGCTGTGATCCGATCTGGGGTCGACCCGGAGTTCTTAGTTCAGCTCGAAGAAGATGAAGTACACTCTCTTTGCTTGGCAAGAGAGAGGCTCCAACAGGGTCACCTGGATGCCGATTACAAATCTTCCTTGCTGGCAGTCTTGGCAGCAGAGGGAATCATGCTTGGCGACGAGAATGACCCGCCCAAGAAGCGTTTGAGAAAGGACCTGCCGACAGATCAACCATCGCAGCGAGGGGACTTGAAAGGAGCTCTGGGCGCAGCTTTGCCTGATCAGCAGGCTGCGGCATTGTCGCGGCTCCGTGATGATGTTTGGGCACGCGGCAATGTAGCATCTGGTGAGGCCAGGTGGCGCACTTGGACCAGGATCTGCAAGGCTTGGGCAATTGAACCTTTGCCTCTAACTCCCGATGTCGTGAAAAAGGTGTCTGCTTCCTTCAAGAATGGAGGGTACAGGAGCGCTAGACAGTACTTTTCGCAAGCTCGCCGCCAACATGTTCTTCACACCCACGCAAGTGTGCCGGCAGATGTGGAGTTGTACATCCGGGACATGATACGAAGCTTGGAACGTGGCATTGGGGGTCCAGCGTTGAAGGATTCTTTTCGTCTTGAACTTCTGAGCCTACCTGATCCAGATGATGACTTGACACTGGCAATGCGGCAGCGGGCGGCTGTGATCGTGCTTGGTTGTTGGTTCCTGTTGCGCGAAATCGAGGTGGCGGCTCTGAAAGTGAAGTACTTCGTAGTCGACGAGAAGACGCAGACTGTGCGCTTGACACTTCAAGCTAGCATGAATGACATGCAAGGGAACCTGGTGATGCGTTGCCATTCTTGTTATTGTAACGTTCTACAAACAAGCCTTTGCCCCTTTCATGTCGCGCAGGCATTCTACCACTTGCTCCCCAAGGATCCCGAAGCTCCAGCATTCTCTAACATCCAGGGTGACGTGCTGTCCAAAGCAGAGACCATCCAGCTGATCCGCAGCTTGTTGGCTGACAACGACGTCGAAGTCACTCGTGCTGGCATGCGGGGAGAGTGCGGAGCCGCGCCGGCCAGTTCCTCATCAGCCTTGTGGGCAGCCAGATACTGATGCGACTCAAGAGAGGCAGCAGGTCCCGGATCCACAGAATCCGGCACCGGCTCTTCGCGTCGAGGAGACCCTCGCCGGCATCAACCAGCAGCTGACAGACTTGGCGCTGAAGGTGGAGAACCTCCAAGAGCGACCAGAGCCCATCTGGCAAAGAGAGCGCATGCAAGAGATCCCAATGAGGTGACGCTGTTGCCTCTCATGTGGAGAGCGAGATGTGGATGGCCGTATGGTCGCGCTTCGTTTCGTCGAGCTTCTTGGGACACGAAAGTCCCGAAGTGCAAGAATTGCTTCCCACCAGACAGCTCGTGTAGAGAGCGTGAGTCAATGCCTGACTCAGAAGGAGACAAGGCGAGATCGGACACAGAAGAGTCGTCCTCCGGCTCCGATAGCGAACAGTCAGGCGTGCCAGCCACAGACTGAAGCTTGACGTGCTAGTCAGGCGTGCGTCATCGTAGAAATCGCTCCAGCAGTGAGCAGTCTGTCAGGCGCATGTGCAGAGCGCTGCAGTGAGAGCAATGGATGCATCGAAGTCTTGGGCAAATGCGCGTTGGACTGAGAGCTTGTCAAGTGCCTTTAGACCTGCCTTCAGGTAACGACTTTTCTTAGCCACATGCGTTGAAACATCCTGTGTTGGCAGACACCGGTAGGTATTGATCCCAGCTGCGATTGTGAGTAATCTTGGTTCGTTGACCAGTTGCTTCTGAGTGTCGCGATTTGCCAGGGTACAGCCTGCGTTGACGTATGAGTCCTACCTTGCGCTGTGTGCCAGGGTTGCTTGCTCTTCGCGCTGATTGGTTTTTGAGCTTTGTAGGAGTTAGTCTTCTAGTGTGTCTTGTATTCTGATTTCCTTGCGTAGC